GGAAATAAATCACTGTAGAAATAAAATAATTTTATTTCGAAACTTTATAAAATAGAAATTTGGGATTAAATATTTGGGTTGTTTCAACGAGGCAATCTCATGGTACGACCCCGAGTCAGCCACCTAGAGGTCCGATTAGCCAGGCACCCAGTGGAGGGATGGGTCGAGGAGTGATATGCATATTTTATGCTCATATTTTAGGTACATCTTTATAATAATTTCGCACTAATTATTTAATATTATTTAACAATTAGTTATTTTTAGAGTTTAACAATTAATGAGCTAAATATAGTACTGGATATATATATATATATATATATATATATATATATATATATATATATATATATATATATATATATATATATATATATATATATATATATATATATATATATAGGGAATGGATCAGGTGCATTTGTTGCTTCCCGTGCGGATGTGCGGTGGATTAATGTGCGTGAGGTTTATACTTAATGTGCGTGAGATTTGTACTCAATGTGCCTGAGATTTTTACTTAATGTGCGTCATGTTAATATGCGTGAGTTTTGTACTTAATGTGTCTGAGTATTGTGTTTCATGTGCGTGAGATTTGTGCTTAATGTGTGTGCGTATTTCAAAATTACGAGCTCAGAAGGAAGCAGAATAGAAACTCACGCACATTAACGCCCAAGCTTCTTGTTACTTCTTCCTTCAATTTGGCCATTGATTCTGGATTATCAGCTACCTTCAGTGCAATTGAATGTTTATATAAATGACGCACACACAGTAAAATTTGCACAGCAACTAAGTGTGGATTTCTGTTGTATTATTCCCATAATTTTTAACCACCATAGCTCGCCTTCGCATCATCATCATCAGGGAGGGGGCAAATGGCTACTGGGGATGGGGAAGAAGCTGACATCAATATTTTTTGTTGTATTTTACACATTCACGCACATTAAGTACAAATCTCAGGCACATTAATCACAACACTCACGCATATTGAGTACAAATCTCATGCACATTAATCCACTGCACATCCGCACGGGAAGCATTCACTGCACTTGAACCTTTCACTATATATATATATATATATATATATATATATATATATATATATATATATATACACACACACACACACACACACACACACACACACACACACACACACACACACACACACACACACACACACACACACATATATATATATATATATATATATATATATATATGCTTTTTAAATATATAAGGGTCCGTTTGGAAAGCAGGAAAATGAGTCATTTTCCGGAAAATATTTTTCTTTCTTGTGTTTGGGAGCACAGCAGAAAACTTTCTTTGTGTGTTTGGTTCATTTTCTAGAAAATGAGGTAGAATGGTATAATTAAACATTTTATATAATTAATTATTTTGTTTAAAATAAAAAATATTTATAATAATAATTATTTTTATTATTAAATAATTATTATTATTAAAAACTTTAAAAAAAAAATTGCAGGAAGAAACCAGAGAGAGTTCTCTCTGGTTTCTTCCGGCAAGGGGAACCAGAGAGAAGCTCCCTCTGGTTCCCAATCCTCACTGCTTTTGTTTTGTTTTGTTTTTTTTTTTTTTTAAGATTTCCGGCGGAAACCAGTGGTCTGGTTTCCGGGGGAAACCAGAACACTAGTTTCTGCCGGAAACATTATTAGTCATTTGGCGGAAAAATGACTTCCGCCAAAATTTGGTGGAAGTCATTTTCCGCCAAATTGGCTTGGTTTTCCCCAGTCAACGGAAAATATTTTCCATTGACTGGGTTTTTCAAGCCTTGCCAAACATGGGAAACCCGGAAAATGATTTCCGGAAATTATTTTCCGGGTTTCCAAACACAGCCTAAATGTGGTCCACTTCTTGATTTTGTTGATTAAGATGCATAAATAAAACTTTAATTACATGCTTCCTTCTTTTTCTCACATACGTGCAACACATTTTGTCAAAGATGAAGCGGCATTCTCGGTAGTCTTCGGACGTGCGGAGGAAAATTAGGAGATGGATGGTGGAGACTTTTATGGTCCGTTTGCTTCACGGAATAGGCTGGGAATGTCATAGCATTCCCAGTAACAGACCTATTCTTCTGTTTGGTAACAATGTGTATTACTAGGAATAATGTTCCTAGTAATAGCGTATTACCTCAGATGAGGTAATAGCTATTACCAGGGCCCCCCTGGTATTAACTTATTCCTGAGTCCTCAGGAATAGAATTTTTTTTTTTCAATTTTAACCTTATCTTTCTCGCTATTCTCTCCCTACGTATCATTCTACACTTTCCCGATTCCTTCATCATCATCGATTCCTTCATCATTAACATCAAAGTCAAGCAATTTTTCCAGCCACATCAAATTAAAGCATCATCAACATCAAAATTAAGCAAATCTTTCTGCCACATCAAATTAAAACATCAAAGGTAAATTTTCATAATTTTATTTTTTAACAATTAAATATTTAATTTTATATATATATATATATATATATATATATATATATATATATATATATATATATACACACACACACACACACTGCTGCGGCGCGGAGGGTTCCGCAGCCGTAACAATTTTGTTTAATGTTTTTTTTTAATTAGTTTAGTTTATTATATCATTAATGTAATTATCACAAAATTTATATAGAATGACAAAAGACTCTAGGTCCAAAGAAAGGAATTCCGTTAGCAGTCATCGACTCAGAGAGTCAGCTTAATTAGTTTGATTCTTTAATGATAGACTTGGTGGGAGTACCAGATAATGATATGTTCATCTAATAATTTACCCATCTAATATCAATCAAAGTTTATTTAGTTAATATTAAGGTTGACACACAGATAATCTTTAACATAGAAATTGGTAAAAATGAAAGAAAAGATTGAATTTTTTTTTATCTTGAATTGAATTGTAATACTTAGGAATTGTAATACTTAGGAATTGTAATACTTACTCAGGAATTGAAAATGGATGGGTCCTTGACTTAGTTTTTTATTTTTTTATTTTTTTTTTGGTTTTTAGTTTTGTTTATTGTTTATTGTTTTTTTTTTTTTTTTTTTTTTTTTTTGCTGAAAAGTGTTATTGTTTATTTGGTTTTGTTTTTTGTCATAGCAATGTTATTGTTTATTTTTTTTACCGTAGTGTTATTATAATCTGTATAAGTTATTGTAAGTTTTAAATTAAATTTGCAGTTATGGCTCGATTGCGTTTAATAACTCGTACTGAAAGAAGGAAAAGATGTGTAGCTGTATTGCGTGTATGGTTGGATATGTGTGCTTCTGTGAGTTTATTGTTTATCATGATGATGTCAACCTTGACAATTTTGTGTTCTAATAAAAAACGAGTGAAATCTTATATTATAAATACTTTAGGGTCTCGAGAATATATGTTACGAACTGTGTATTCGTGTGATGAAAAATGCATATCTCAACTTAGGATGAATCGACATGCTTTTGTGAAGTTGTGTGCAATGTTACAAACTATAGGAGGGTTAAGGCCAACATGAAATATGCTTGTTGATGAGCAAGTAGCAATATTTTTACATATTATTGCTCATCACGTAAAAAATAGGATCATTCAAAATAATTTTCTAAGGTCGGGGGAAACTATTAGTCGATACTTTAATATAGTATTGAATGCTGTTTTGAAACTCCGAAATCATTTATTAAAAGATTCTGAACCAGTTCCAGCTCCCTCTACAGATCATAGATAGAAATGGTTTAAGGTAATTAAACATATCCCTATAGTTGAGTTATAAGTTAAATTACAATGTGAATATATATTTAATAATATTTCATATTATTTCTAGAATTGCCTAGGCGCTTTAGATGGAACTTTCATTAGAATACAAGTGTCATCAGAAGATAAACCTAGATATCCATCTCGCAAGGGTGAAATTGCAACAAATGTATTAGGTGTATGTACACCTAATATGCAATTTGTGTATGTTCTTCCGGGATGGGAAGGATCTGTAGCAGACAGTAGAGTTCTTCGGGATGCATTATCTAGAAGACATCCACTTAAGGTCCCTAATGGTAAGCGTTATAATATTAAATTCCAATTATCAGGTAATATAATATGCATTCGTATTAAACTATAAACTTATGTTTCTAGGTTGTTACTACTTAGTTGACGGAGGATATGCTAATAGTGAGGGATTTTTGGTACCATTTAGAGGTCAAAGATACCACTTAAATGAATGGCGTCAAGGTCATCAACCGACAACTCCTCAAGAATTCTTTAATATGAAACATGCAGCTGCTCGTAATGTCATAGAACGCTGTTTTGGATTATTGAAAATGAGATGGGCTATACTTAGAAGCCCATCATTTTATCCTGTTAGAATACATAACAGAATTATACTTGCATGTTGTTTGCTGCATAATTTTATTAGAAATGAGATGAATGTTGATCCTATGGAAGAGGAATTCGTACAAAGTAACGTCATACATGAAGATGATGATCTCACACAAATAGAGCCTTCAGAAGTTTGGAATAATTAGAGGACAGAATTAGCAAATGACATGTTCAATGAATGGATATCATCTAGAAATTAAGGACATGTTCATTGATGTTTGATTTTGTGATTTGGTGTTTTTTTGTAATGTGGTTTATGAACAATGTAATGTGTTTGAGTTTGATGAATAATTTATTATTTCAATTTATTTGTAGTTAAGAATGGCTTCTCCCCCTACTTCTGCAACCATTGGATCTCAAAGTGTTAAGCAAACAAAAAGAAAGTGGACACCCGAAGAAGACATTATATTAGTGTCCTGTTTGACTGAAATGCATACTGTAGGAAAATTTAATTCCGATACAGGGTTTAAGACATGCTATTTATTAGAACTTGAAAGAATGATTTTGAACAAAATACCAAATTGTACCATAAAAGCTAAGCCACATATTGAGAGTAGAATTAAAACTTTGAAAAAAGAATGGAGCATTATTCATGATACGGTGCAAGGTAAGAACACTAGTGGGTTCGGTTGGAATGATCAAAAGCACATGGTGTATGCTGAAGATGCAATTTGGGAATCATACTTAATTGTAAGTATTTACTCTTTTTTTTGTACTTTCGTTTATTTTTATTAATGTATACATAAAAATAATTTATTTATGTTTATTATAGAGTCACAAAGAAGCTGCTCCTTTTAGAACAAGAAGCTTTAAGTTTTATAATGAGTTATCTGCAATATATTCTAAAGATCGTGCAACTGGAAAAGATGCACAGACAGCAGATGACGTAGTTGAAGAAATACAAGATGAAGAACAGAATGATATAAGAGCTGACACAGAAGATAGTGCATTTGTTGGTTTGGATGATATTGATTTAACGAGTACACAACCTGAGCCACAAAATGATGGTAGAAAAAGAAGCAATTCAAGTAAGAGAAAGAGGAGCCATGATGAAGCTATTGAGATATGTGCTGAGAATATGCTTAATGCTGCGAAGCTAATAAGCAATACAATGTCAGAGGTTGGTAAGAATCTGTCTGATGGTCTTCAATATGATCGTGATATGGATATGTTTCAGAAGCTTGAACGTGCATTAAAAGAGGTTGATGATGTTGATATATAATAGTTGTTGTAAAATGATGTATATGTTTGGCAAATGATGATGTTGATATATAATAGTTGTTGTAATAATAATAATAATAATAATAATAATAATAATAATAATAATAATAATAATAATAATAATAATAATAATAATAATAATAATAATGATAATAATAATAATAATAATAATAATAATAATAATTATTATTATTATTATTATTATTATTATTATTATTATTATTATTATTATTATTATTATTATTATTATAGTTTTTGTACAAGGGCATTTATGTCTTTTAAACATATATTCTATTCCTATTCCTTAACCAACCAAACATTGGAATACAGTTCCCAATGTCTATTCCTTTAGCGAACCAAACAACAGAATACAATTCCTATTCTATTCCCTATGGAATAGCATTTCTATTCCCTCCAAATTCATTCCGTGAACCAAACGGCCCGTTAGAGTTTATTTTTAGTAGTATAAATAGTGTAGGTTTTCTATTGTAAAATGTTCATTTCTTCCCCTCTCGATTATTCTTTAAGGTTGTTATTAATGTCCATTCGTGGCTAATTTCTTCTAGCTTGGTTTAGTGAATTGAAGCCCCGGAATTGATTATGCTGTAAGATTATTTATTTATTTTTATTATATATGTTTTTATGCATTTGAGTATTAAATATTCTTCTAAATTATTTGAATAGTTGTATCATTTAATTGCTAGGGAGGCCTACTAGTTATTTATTTGATATAATTATTTGCTGTATTAGATAACGTTGTGCTACAAATTATTCTAATATTCAGTAGCAACTGAGGTTAATTATTGACGGCTTAGTGATAATTGGTCTCGGGTAGAATATTTTCCTAAATTAAATGCAACCACTTGTGCTTGTGTTTTTAGTTTGTCGATTTTCCTAGTTTCTATTGCTGCAATTAAATTAAATCTATAGCGTTTGTCTTAGATTATTTAGTAGTTAGGGGTAATTAAACCGCTTGTGCTTTAGTTACCTACAACTAAGGGAAAACAGAATTGAAATAATTTCACGACAAATATTTAATTGCATACTAATTACCTTTTTAAATCAATGATCAGTGTTAAATTCCGTTGGTGGATCTTTACTAACCAAGGTTTTCTATTATAAGTGCTTTCAATATATTATTTTCATTGCTCTACTCGTTCATTTAAATTTCTTGTTTATTTAAACTCTCTTTTATTTAGTCTTTATTCTCGTTATATTTCAAACCCCCCATAATTTCCTTAAGCACAAAAGTTAAACTAGTTACTCCTCGTGGGATCGATCCTTACTCCCGCTACTACGTTTGTAAGGTTTTAATTTGGGAGCCTACAACAGCTCGCCAAGGAGATAAGTCTAGAGGAGGTTCTCATAGAATGGCTGTAACACCCCGTGATACGGCCTTTAAACCCGAATTAATTATTTAATTAATTCCATTAATAATAATTAAAAAGGATTTAATTTGATTAGAAATCCCTTTAATTAATTAATGTGGTCCACCACGGATCGTGGACCCTTGCCTACACTAGAGTATAAGCCCATTAGAAATAAAGAAAGTCAACATTTTACTAATCAGATCCTAATTAGGAATCCTAGGCCTACACATCTATTAGGAATAAAGAAAGTATACATTTACTATTCAGATTATGGTTAGGACTCTCTTTAATTAATTAATATGGTCCACCATGGACCATGGACCCTTATCCCTAAAACAAGTCCTTAGTCCTATAAGAAATAGAATTAGTAAACCCATACCATTCAGACCCTAATTAAAACTCCTAAATATATATATATATATATATATATATATATATATATATATATATATATATATATATATATATATATATATATATATAAGGACATAGGAGGCACCTAGAAGTCACACCACAATAGATATCAACACACAAGAATTCCCAAGAGACTCCCCACTACCAAGCCTAGGGAGATCAAAACGGATGGAAATCTTAGGGAAGAGCCTTAATAGCCAAGGGATGATTAATTAAGGCTAAGAGGTAACCCATGTCTCAACAAAACCTATTTTCTTCGCTATAATCTCTTTCCTTGGCCTCCCTCTATATTCTTGTGTCTTGATTGAATTCTTCTATGATAATTATATGTTCTTCATGATTGATAAGATGACTTATATGCTTTCTTGAGAATCTTGATGACCTAGATGTTAAAGAGATATTCTTGATTATGATATGATGATTCTTGACGAATCTTCATATTTTCGTGATGTTAAGAAACAAATATGTTCTTGATGATTTGGGTGGGATTAGAGCCCTAGGATGGATTGGGAATTTGGATTGAAGATGTTCTTGAATTATATTTGGGTGGGAATTCGCATGATCGGGTATTGTTTATATTTAGAAGCTGTAATAAGATAAGTCCTACATGATTCCTACTTTTGATCCGTTAATTGCTTATGTGATGTCGTTATTTGCGTTTAAAAGTGTACAAGCATGGTTTCGGGTTCCACGAAGGATCCCGGGACGAATTTTTGATAAATGAGTCAGTGGGGGGTAGTGGGGGTGGGGGAACCCACCACCTACCCGCTTCCCAAAGAGGCGCTGCCCGGAACAGCGCCCACCGGCGGGTGACCCCCACCCACCGGCTACCCGCTGGTCCACACCCCACACCGGGTCCACGGCTTCCCCGTTTGATGTTCCCCGTCCCCCATGGTGTCCCAACGGACCCCGTTTGTCGTGCCTGAGTCTAGTTTGGAATTTCGGGTACCATTCGTAGGTTAAACGAGTCTTAGAAATTGCATGCTAGTTGAATTGGTAACCCGTGGACCTAGGTGGAAGTTATATGAGCCCTTAGGAACTATTCTTAGTGTGTGAATGATCACAGGTAAGCTTAATTATATGTCTCCCCCTCCCCTATGTGATTTATGTGTTATTATGTGCTATTGTGTGTTACGTGATGCATGACCCCAACTTGGTTAAGACCAATTGGGCTATACGGGCAGTTGAATGGGCTGAGAACCATCCCAACTGTTAACCAGGCCGATTAAGATCGGTCAGGGATATTGATATGATATAGGACTGAGGTCCACTATACGGGCAGTTGAATGGGTTGAGAACCATCCCAACTGTTAACCAGGCTGGTAGAGACCAGTCATGTATATAAAGATTATGTATAGGACTGAAGGTCCACATGGGCCTCGGTGATATGACCCACCGACCGGGATGCGCCAGGCGGTATGGGGCTAACAAGCTGAGGAAGGTTGTAGTCCACCGACCTGAGTAATCAGGCGGTGTGTAGGGCTACGACTAGCTGCGACCCACCGAGTGGTGGGACATCGATATGCAAGACCGTAGTCTCCGAGGTTCTTTGCCCACCGACTGAGTTTAGCTCAGCGGTGTGTTGGGCTTGATCCGCTACGGCCCGCCGATTGTGCGCACCAACGGTGTGTAGGGTCGTAAGTCCCCCCTTGTAAAGGGGATCGCGGTCCACCGACTGGGCGCGTCAGCGGTGTGTCGGATCGTGGTCCGACGTTGAGTTCGTCAGCGGTTCTCAAAGAGTTGGTTGCGATCAACTCCCGTCGTACTGCGGTACTGAGGTAGTGTTGGTCCCGATAGGGTGGTGAAAGTCTAGAGGGGGGGGTGAATAGACTTTCATGCTTTTTCAAATTAAATAACTCTTCGTTAACTTCAACTCTAAGTAACAAGTAAATAGAGCAAGTTTGTACTGCACAGCGGAATAATAGTAAAGAGTTATGCCCAACTAGTAAATTAAGTGTGCAAGTATAAGTAAGATAGGTACAAATGATATGTAAAGTGACAGAGATATCTTGAATATATAAAGGAGATGGTGCACTCAATATATAATAACAATATTCAAGATTGTAAATAAATATCGTGTCACGTCGTCCGTGTGACGAATGTTACATGCAGCATGTCAAACTTGCTTAGAATAAATTAGTATTTAAGCTCGAGAAGTTTGAGTCACATGCATACGTGAGAACACACTAAACCCGGATGATTAAGATTAACTGTGAATAGTAAACGGGTTAGTCGGATGAGATAGATAGATATAGCAAATAATGTAAGTGCGGTATGTAAATGAGAGAGGCAATTTATAGTGGTTCGGAAGTGGCGTAATCTTCCTAGTCCACTTTTCTCCTTTCACGTCTAGGACAAATTCACTATTTTCCACACACAGTTACAATAGTGAACAAGTGCTACACAGGCACTTCTTCCGGATGTCTTGCACACAGCTACACCCTGCTCCGAGTGTCTCGCACACAGCTACACTCAACTCCGAGTATTTCGCACACAGCTATACTCAACTCCCGAGTATTTCGCACACATCTATACTCAACTCCCGAGTATTTCGCACACAGCTATACTCAACGCCAACTAAGTGTCTTGCACACAGCTACACTTAGCAACTACGAGTGTTTTGCACACAGTTACACTCACTAGAGTATTTTGCACACAGCTATACTCTTTCTACAATTTACAAATACAAGGATTTGTATTTCTCTCTCCAACTAGATTTGAGACTATTCAGACTAAGTCTCTTAGAATATTTTGAGCACTAGCACTTTTGAATTTTGCACTTGTATTGCACTTCTATCTCGTTCACCTCTGCTCCCCACACACTTTGTCTTCAAGTCTTCATGGCTTTTTATAGTCAATCAAATATATCCGTTGGAGTGGGATAATTTGATATTTGAAATTTGAATCTTCATAGCCTGATATTGTTGACAATAGTAGGTCTTCAATTTTGATTTGATTGTCAACTTGCCTGACAAATAATATTTTATCACAACTTGATTTTCTAGTTGTTTTTTAAAATATTATTTTTCTTGTTACATTGAATATCCAACGTATCTTTGAAATAAATTCATCTGATAGAATTTATTTCTAGGATAAGTTTTTATATTCATGTCTTCATAAATATTTTTTCCGTTCTGATCAAATGTCTTTCAGGCAATTTTGGAGTCTTGTGGCATGTGGGTGGACTTGGAGTAAATTCCTTCGAATTTATCCAATT